GAGATCATCCTAGAGCGAGAGACGCCCGAAGAGAAATTGGGCCTCACCTTATACTACAGCAACGCGCCCGCACCCCCGCCCACGCACATGGCGGAGCAGGACGAGGGCGTGGGCGTGGCAGAGGACGAGGGCGAGGGCGTGGAGGACTACAAGGGCGTGGTGACAGAAGTCCTTGTGTCGCAGATCGAGCAGGGAACCGTTGCCAGTCGGGACGGCAGGCTGAGGATAGGCGATCAGATCCTGCAGGTGAGGGGCGCGTCCGATCGTCTTTTGTTTTGGATTCCGTTTGTTGTTATTCCCCTGGCGTCTATAGGTATTTATTTTTAATTTGTTTTTCTCTCTATTTTGGCCTTCTTGATAACGCTCAGAAGACGCTACTCAACTATTATTACTATTATTATTATTATTATTGTTATTTATAGTAACGATACGAGTTATTAAAGGAATAGTTCAGATCGTCACCGCAAAGATGGCGCTTCGGTTTCAAGCATCTTTAATTCCCGTTTTCTATGTCTCAGATCAACGGCGTGGAGCTCACGACGCGGGCGCAGACGGAGGAGCTCTTCGCCGGATGCGGGACGAAGGTGACGCTCCTCGTCTCTCGAACTCAGTATTATGTAAGTTCCTGTTGTGATTTTTTCCTCACTATTAATGTTTTCTTGATGTTTTTTTTTCTTTTTTTTAATTATTAGTTTGTTGTTTTTTGTCTATTGTTTTTGTTTTCCATTTTTCTTTTCTTGTTTTTTTTTTCTCTTTTTCTGATTTTTACATTTTTTTTTACAGGACGAGGATGACTTGGTGGAGGGCGAGGTCTTGGAGGACGTGGTCGAGGAAGACGAGGAGGTCGAGCTCTTAGACGCCAATTCCGAGTTCCACACGGGCAGGTGCGTGTCTCTCTGTCACGCTTTCATTATCTATTTTATACATTTATCAATTGATTGGTTGATTTATGTGCTTAGAATTTATGCTATTTAATTAGAATGATATTATTGTTTTTTTTGTTTGTTTGTTTGTCTCTTCTTTTAGAACACTGGACCTGATTTTGATTTTGAGGGGGGAGGGGCCTCATCCTTGAATTTGCTCGATACGTTTGTGTATGACAGTATGGTGATTTTCTCTGCTGTGTTGCAGGTCCCCCGTTCACTCCCTGAAGAGCAACGACAGCGTCGAGAAGAAGGAGGAGGTCCGCGTCAAGACCGGCCGCTCGTCGTCGTCGTCATCGTCGTCGTCGTCGTGCGAGCGGAAGCCCAAGCGGTGTTCGTCGGCCTCGTCGACGTCCTCGCGCGCTCGCAGGTGCGGGAGGCGACGGGGCGCCCGGCACGATAGACCGCGAGATGCACGCCCTCGACGCGCAGATGGCCGACATCGCCCACCAGTGCGAGCAGCTCGAGGCCAGCCACAAGACGGGGCCCAGATCGCCCGAGCCGCCCTACAAGGTCCCCCTCGAGCAGCTGCAGCAGCAACAGCAACAGCAGCAGCAGCAGCAGAATAAGGCTGTGAAAAATATATGTAGCCGGCCGCCCGCCAGGACGCCCTGCGGCGGGCGGAGTCGGAGCACATCTACGAGTCGATTCCTGACGTGAGCGAGTCGGACGAGCCCATCTACTGCGTGCCGTACGAGCCCGGACGCACGAGGCGCCGCCACACGCCCGCCACGCTCATGCCAGCCACCAAGCCGCCGCTGCTGCTCCAGAAGCCAACGCAGCCACCGCCACAGCAGCCGCAGCCGCAGCAGCCCCAGCAGCAGCAGCAGCAGAGCAGCGGGCGGGGCACCCGGGGCAGCGCACGAGCAGCAGCAGCGGGGGGCAGCGTGAGGACCGGCGGACCGTGGAGAAGCAGCAGTCGGTGGAGAGATGGGTGAGAGAGAACCCGCACCCGCGCTCCCCCACGCACACTGCACCCACCGCAGCCCACACCCACGCCCACACCGCCCCCACAGCCACCACCACCACCACCACGACGCCCGTCACGAACTCCGTGAAGCGCGCCGACGCCCCGCAGGAGGAGAGGGACTCCTCGTCGGCCTACAACACGGGCGACTCGACCGGCAGCACGCACCGCCCGCCGCCCACGCTCGAGCTGAGTCTTGGCCAGGACCCCGCCCTCAGGCAGTCCACCCTCACGCTCTGCCCGCCCACGCACGACCAGTCCCTTCAGGTGAGTTGCCCACAAGTCGCTTTCAGTAAAACAAAATTGAAAAATAGTAAATGAATAAGGATTGTTCATATGCCAGCATGTACACACGCGCAGTTATTCTTTCATTCACTCTTTTGTTTCGTTCCACATGCATCGTTTCATCAGCGAAATAAGATAGTCACTCTGTAAAAAGACATTGCCGTTATATGCACGCCTTAAGATTAATTGAAGAGCAAAAACTATGTAAAGTTCACTAAGCACTGCATGGCCTAAGCGCATTGATGTGTCAGGGCAAACTGCTTCACATAAAACACGGACAGACGACTGACTGAACGTAAGCGTGCTGGCGGTGGTGGCGACCTCCCCTGACCCCCCTGACCTGTTGCTTAATCTATACGCCCAGGTGAGCCTCGAGTCCGACACCTACTCGGCCATCTCCTGTGACAGCTGCCGCCGGTGCATGCGACTGCCGCCCCTCCAGCACTCCCTCCCGCAAAAGACAACCAATGGGCGCGGCCTAGAGCCAGACCACGCTCACCCCAACACGCCCCAGCACGGCCACTCCAGTCAAAAAGCTGAGAGTGAAAGTAACCGTAATTATGTCACCTTCCTGCCGGCACAGACGATGTACACCAACGCCGCAAACCTCCAGCAAACGATCTGGCTCCAGCAGCAGCTCTTCCGCCAGGCGCTCCACAGGGGGTCCACGGCGCCCTCCACGCCCACCGCCTCTCACCGGGGCGGCCTTCCTCCCAGGGCGCCTCCGAGGACTCCGCAGGACGAGCCCGTCAAAATGGAATGGAAGGTAAAGGATCGATATTATGAACACGACGGTTATGCCATTGTCGATTTAATCCCTGGACATTGAGGTAATAGATTCAATGATGATTAGATTATTATGATATTTTAGATGTTAAATAGTTTCAAACCAATGGCACTAACACCCTTTTCCAACAGGTGAAGCGGCGTCCAGACGGCACGCGGTACATAACCCAGCGGCCAGTGCGAAGCAAATTACTAAAGGAGCGGGCGCTCAAGATCAACGAGGAGAGAGCAGGTCTTACCACCGACGACGACGCCATGTCCGAGCTGAAGGTGAGGTTTCGCCATTTGATCTTTGCTCTCCGTTACGAAAGGTATTTGCATGAAATCGAGCGGAGGTAATGGTCGCGATGCCAGGATATGTGACCCGCGTGCATTTCCGCCGTAAATCTGGAACCTCATTTCAACTTTGTTTTTTTCAGCTGGGTCGGTACTGGAGCCGCGAGGAGCGCAAGCGGCACCTCGAGAAGGAGCGAGAGCGCCGACGGCGGCACGAGATGCGGCGACAGCAGCAGCAGCAACAGCAGTTGGTCCACCACCCCACCCCGGACGACCCCCCGACGGCGCTGAGGACGTGCACCCTAGAGAACGGCGTCCACCAGGCCCTGTGGAGGGACCACTCCATCAGAAGGAAGACCTCGTCCACCTCCGACAACGCGCACAAGAAGCTGTCGTCGTCGTCGCGACGGCGGGTGGACGTGGAGGAGGCGGCGTACGGCGTGCGGACGCCCGTCCACCCCGCGAACCCCCCCGTGCCCCACCACACGGCCCAGCAGATGATGAAGGGCCTCCTGTCCGTGACCACGGTCTGAACCGCGGACCGGTAGCGTGGTCGAGGACCCCCAGAAAGTCTTTCTATTGTAGTCAAACGAGCAACTCCTCGAGGAGCGCTGCACCGAGGCTCTGCTTGCTCTCACTCCACCCCCCCCCCGCCCCTCCCTCCTCTTCTCCGTAGAGGCGTTCAAGAAGCGGAGAATTCTTAGAAATCTTGCTTTTGGTGAAGCGAGCAAGGCTGGTGTGGAGGACAATCAGTTTCTGGTATTTCTTTCGTATACAGTGTTGCCACATTATTCGTAGCATATTTGTGATTTAGTTGCAAAAGTCGATGTTCTTGTGCGAATAGCAAAGCATATGTGATAAGCCTTTTTTAGGATCGAACTAATCTTCGAAACACCAGCATATGTATTACTCATACCAGCATCGCCAGTGTTTGCGTCTGTGTTTGGTTATTTCATGAACCTTTTATATCCGAATGCAGCAAGTTCACCAAATAGTGAAGATGATAATCACATGAGTGTTTTTTCACGATGCTTTAGTGCACTATACTCTTCGAAGAGAAAGAGAAAAAAATAGACTTACACGAGTATAGTGTTTCACCTGAAGCAAACGGAAACACAATGTTGTGCTACCGGTTATTTTGAGCAGCAGAATGTACCGAGGTGTCAACAGATATCCTTGCACAGTGATATGATGCAGAACAGTCACCTCACCAGCACAGCTCATGTAGCTTTTTGGATTTCAGTGAAGTCCTCTTTAGCTATTCTCTTAAGTAACTTGTAACCAAAGTGTGCATCCACCCAATGCAACTTGTGTGGAGCCTTGTCATGATTTGGGGATCCCTCACAGTCCCCGAAAAAATGGAGTTATATATCTATATATATAGTAATAAAAAAAGTGCTTTATATGGAATTGTTTGGCAAGAGATGCTCAACACAACACACATCTCATCCAGATCGTCATGGTATCTGTGACTGGAGTTAGAGCCATTTTTTCGTGTAGACATTTTCGAACTTTGCCCCTTTAGCTCGGGTGTAAAGTTTTTTTTCTGTTTTCTTTTCTTTTTTTGTATATAGAAAAAATGACTGCTCATTCAACTCGTCCAGTTTGTTTTATACTCGTTGTGGATGTTAAGATACACCTTGGCTTTTGTGAGGAATTTAGTCACTCTCCCTGGCAGAACCTTATTGTATAAAATGCAAAGTTAAAACTAGTGATCAACCTAGGCATATGTATAGTCCACGAACCTTTTAAGAAAACACCCC